GCAGGTCAGTTTAGCACGGGAATCAGGCTAGAAAGTTGGCAATTTAGGAACTAAGTTCTACCCTGTCCTCTTCGAAGTGAAAAAAATCCAAGGGAGAATTAAAAGTAATTAGGCAGAAAACAGCAATTAAGCCCAGAATGAATTTCATTTTTAAACCATTAAAATCATTGCTGCTTCCAGAGAACTAGGAATCATGGTGGATATCTACACAGAAAACAAAAAAGATAATGTGACTGCAGCAGTGCTCTGAGACCCACAGATGCGGCACTTCCCCTCTAAAGCAGAGAAGCACCTTGGGAGAAACCTGGAGACACAGCGAAGGTCTCTGGCACTGCCTGGGTACATGCGAGCTAGCCTTAGCTCCATCAATCCTGCAAGCAGTTCAACTTGTACTCTTCTCCTAAAGCACCTTAACGTCTTGGTCAAAGTTGTAGGAAGGATCACGAAATGGCCTTGTTAAGATGCACCAAATCATTACATTATTTAAACTGGAGGAGAGTACAATTTAAAAACTAACGCTTCTGGATTGCAAATCCCAGTTGGGATTTAGGGGTTTAAAGAAAAATAAAGACAGCAACTAGAAGGGACATATTCTCCACATACCTAAAAGAATAAAGTACAACATGAAGACATGAAACTTGTACTCCAAATGAAATAAAGGAACATCTGTGCATATTTAATGATTCTCCTAGCAAATGTCTTCCTTACTTCTTCCCCAGTCCTACGTTTCCGTAACCAAAAATCCACCTAATTTCAATGAATCAATCTTTGCTTTGTTTTTTACTGTTCCTTTCCAGATTTCCACCATACCTATTTCTCTCAACAGGTTCAACAGAATACAAGAATACCTTTATTTTATAAAATTACACCCAAGGTAGCATCTATCACAAGGCTCATGACCATTTTAAGTAGTAAAATTATTACGGACATTGCAGATCCATTCATCATACTGGGTCTGCCCCCTATAAACAAAACACAGCAATGGAAGAGGAAACATCTTTTTCCTGATCTCAGGACAAGAATGGAGACAAAATTATCATCACCTGCACTAGTTTCTGAAAACTTCAGTCTTTCCTGGTAAAGATCACAGAAAAAACATGCAATAAATTTCATTACCAGATCATAGTTTGCAAATTGGCTGTGCTGCCAAGTCTTTATTTTGCAAAGGGGAATACAGGATTTCCAAAACTTTTGAAGAGAGTTTCTGGCAAGTCAAGTACAGAGTGGGATGGCACACAGAACCCACTCGTCAGGTTCCAGATGGTATCAGGATTCAAAAGATCCCTACAATGGCCACAGTCATGGGTGAAGGCTTGACTTTAGAAGGAGCCCTTAAAATAAAACACTGGTCTCCAAAGTCAATATAAGCCTTAACCAGTTGCCTTTTCTTCCCTTGATTCTTACTGGCTATGTATACATTGTCAGTTAGCTGTGGTAGTTTGGTATGGACATCATTAAGTATCACAGGCAATCCCAGAGTTATTTAACTTACGGCAAAAGAGATAGTATTTGAATGGCATTCTTGTGCAAACTTTGCACAGTTTCTCCAATTTCCAGCTTGTAAATGACCAAGTCCAACGTTACTTAGTATCATGCACAGGGCTTTCTCAAACAGCAGCTCAGACAGATCCATTCCTCAGTGCAAGTCCCTTGGCCATACAGACTAAAATCAACATCAAGGAACACATACAGATTTTTGTTACTTTAGAAAGTGGGCAGAAATCAGGGCTATACAAAACCAGCAAGCTACCTTAGCTTTAGAGGCAAAAGAGTGCATGGATCATGGATCCATGGATCGTAGGAATTAACTTTGCAAGATAAGAGCCAAGTAAAGCAACTCTGGTGCAAGTACAAATGTCTGCTGAGATATTGGCCCCAATTACTGACCCCTCTGCTAAAGCATCCTTTCATCCCACATATACCTGCAGCACTACACTATCTGTGCTGCTAACACCAGACATTAATCCACCCTTTGGCACAAGCAGTCCAAGTTGACTACTTAGGACACAATTCACCCTGCTGTACTCAGACCTGGACATACACCAGCATCTGAACTCCCCAGGTGAAGAGGGAGAGACTAATGAATTACGCAGAAAAAAAAGTATCGCAGACAGGATAGGACTGAAAAGGAAAATGGGATGGATTGGGATTTTAAGAAGAGGTAAAGGCAAATAAGTGTTGGTTGGGTTTGGGTTTTTTTTTTTTTTTAAATTACTTGTTTTCAATTATTTTGAAGTAAGTGTTTCCAAGGCTCCACATTATCAAAAGAGAGACCTAGATTAAGAACAAAATAAAGATCAGAAAGCAGTGTTAAAAAAAAAAAGTGCAAATAATTAACTGACAGTTCATGCTGTGAATCACTGAGTTTGAAACAAACTCGCCCACATCTGTCGATAAACTTCATTAACTGAAAAAATGATACTGAAATGAATGCCATCCTGCACGCATAATGCCTATCTTCTGCTTGGATATCTAAACTGCAAGGACACCTGAAACCTCAGAAGTTCAAAGATTCTCAGTTGTTTTGGAAGACAATGCAGCACACACCTGATGCTCACTTCCAAAGGGAACAAAGTAGGCTGGCACACCATCAAGAGGACTAACCTCCCAATTAAATATCAAATTGGTAAACAGTTTGCTGTCTGCAATAAGCTCCATTCATGGAAAATTGAATTTCTAGGACCAACTACTGTGTCAACAAGAGAAGAGGAGGCAAAGGGGTTTTTAAACACTGACGTCTGTCAGACAGATGGCTGCAACAATTTATTCTCTGCTGGTGTTAACTATCTTATCTTGCTGGTGCTTTTAAGGATGAGCTGCAGAGGATTTCAACAAACAATGCAAAATTATTTCCAACAGTAGTAATGACAATTACTTTTGATATGTCCATTTTTATCCCTAGATCTGGAAGTGCTCTACAAACGGCATGCAATACCACTGACACTGTAACAAGAAGTACGATCAACTGGAAGACAGCTCATATCTTGCCTACTCCTGCATCTCTGTTATCCTGGACTCACTTTCTCTCACTGCAAGACGTAAGAAGACAGCAAGACAGTTCTCCCTCTTCCTGTGCAGGAGGTTGCTCTCTCCATGGCACAGCAAAGCGACACAGAAAAACTACCTTTTTCAGATTACCTTTCCCTGCTAACCTGCCATCACGTCTCCATTTACCTTAAGCAACTACTTTCAAGCATGAAATCACCTTGCTCCACATCTGACTGAAGCTTCAAATTTTCCACAAGGAAGCACATAGTCCCACATGACTATAACAGCAGAGACTATAGATGAAAGGACCGAAATACACTTCCCCCCTTCAACAACAGCAGCAGTCACCATTCACTGGCTGCTGTCCTGATGCATTTGAAGTGCATCAGGACCACTTTTAATTACCAAAAGTTCAAATTGTCTAACATATCTCAGTATTGCTATGCTCCACATCCCTCTTCATTAGCCTTTAAGAATATGAAATGTGCAAAGTGGCACAAGCTTTTGCATGTCTGGTAAAACCAGTACCTTACTTTAAAATAAAAAAAAAACAAACCACCAAAAAACAAACACAAAGAAACAACAAACAAAAAACCCCCAAAGCTATCCTGGAATGTAAAAGTTCAAGTGGATCAGGGAACTGCACATACTAATAAAAATTTATGACGTGGATTAGATTAGTCTACTAATGATCAATTTATTGCCTACGCTTACTGGAGAATCTCATATTCATTCAGATAATCCTTTTATCCCCCACCATGACTAATTTCCTCTTGCAGAACACCATTAGAAAGTGAGACACTAGTAAGTAAAAACCTATGATATCTGGAGCCTATTTAAAGGACCTTAGTTTCCAGTGGGACTGCAAATAATTTCAGTAATGGGCCCTTTCAGAACACTTTTCACTACCTTCTTCATTTGTGAAGTTACTCAGGGGAATGGTTATTGCAATTTAGAGACCACAAGCCCAAGAAACAGAAATGAACCAACTTCTGAAGATGCATTAATCAGTAGAAATCTGACAGAAGTATACTTCAGATCAACAGAAGGTACAATGCCAAACCTTTGTTAGTTTTGTTCAAACTAATTGACTTCATCATAAAGCTGAAGAATCTAACAGGCCATCTCCACTATTTTATCTCAAAGAAAAGCAAAATGAAAGACTCCGTGTTTAGGGAACATTGGTTCTTCAGGTTTTTCAGACTGCATTAGGAATCCTCCTGACCCCAGGTTCTAGCATGTACTGCCCTATTCTCAAGGTGCTCTCAGAAATGCAAATACAATTTCTAACCAGAAAAGGCTCCTTTGGAAGGAATATTAGCAATAGGTTCCTAAATGGTCAGTAGTTCAGGTTCTTAACTAATTTCCCATTGGTCCTTAGTTACTTTTGCTTAAAATAGGAGTGTATCCACAAAAGTGTTTGTGGCTAAAACTGGATCCATGTTTCATGCTCAGTGCAATTCCATGAAACCAGTTCCCCAGCATCTGCAAAAAAATGCCCTTTGACAGAAGAAAGCCTAAAACCACGAAGGGAGTTGTTTGAAAACACACTTTTCAAATAAATAAAACCAGCACCATCAAGGGAAGCAGAGAAGGTACTTAAAATTTGTAGAAAAAGCCCACTGATCACAGTACAATCGACAAATGAAAGTGTGATTCTCAGTACGTATGGCACAGTTTGCATTGCAAAATACTTTTTTTGTACTTAACTTGGCCTGGGTCACTCTCCATTGTATTATACATCTCCCTGTATAGATCCACTCCCCCTAACCTGGATAAATGACCTACTCTTCACACTGACCCCACTGGACAGACCTACATTGACAAGCCCTGCAACAAGAGAGTCCGTAGCAGGCAAATACCTCCAAGCATTGCTATTGTGGCCACTGAAATGGGGATATTTCTGCAAAAATGAAAGATATATGATACTTCATTTCAAATCAAAATAATTTTAACAAAATCCTAAACACAGAACGTGGTGAACGGATTAATACTCCACAGTTCTGCCTTACCGTAAGCAACCAGAAGTGTTCTTGAAGACAGTTGTCCACTCAGCATCGCGAGGCTTAGAGTCCTCATTCGGCTCACTCTCCCAACCTGAATGGGGTATAATCACCTCATTGGTAAGTGTCTGCAGGCCATGGTTGATGATGACCATCTTCAGGGGCTCATAGGAGGACAAGTTCCACAGGGTGCCTGCAGGAGAAACAGTGATCATTAAATAACAAGAGAATAATAACTATTTAAAATCTCTAGATTAAATAGAATCACTAGATTCACAGAGAACCGCTAGAAGGTTAAATTGTAAAACTAAACAAAAAGGCGAAACCGCTTGATGAGATGCCAGACTAGCACATAGCTTAGGGAAAATTCCATAGTCGCTGCAACAGAGGCATTTCCAAAAGCATGGAAGCACTTTTATCAAGACATGGATATTGTTGAAGTCATCAAGTCCTACAACAGAGTACATAAATGCGATGTGCTATTGGAGATTAATAGGATTTTTCTGTTATATACACATTTTGTTACACTTTTAAGTCTAGCTATGCCTCAAAAAGTAAAAATTCATCCAGTGCAGCAGACAAGTATATTGAGCAAGTCTTAGAAACAGGGATGAATTTATGGAGGATCACTGATCTTACGCTTATCCTCTGCACAAGACTATTTCATTCAAGACTCCCATTATTTACTTTCACATTTTCCTGTCACAGGCAATATCTGTGTTCAAATCACCCGGTGCCACAAGCATATGATTCCTTGAAGAAGCCGAGAACCAAAACTCCTCTGTCTTTCCATTTTTACCTCAATTATGAGCCAAAGTAGACAGAAGTCAAATATCAAATCGACATAACAGAAGAACAGCCTTACATCTGTAAAAATATCCCGTCTTAGATAAGCAATACAACTTCCCAGCAGACCTGCATCAGTGTGCTGATAGTTATTGCTCATTAGGTTAGGACTAAAACAGGACATTCACTTCAGAAAGAATTTCTGCATAGGCCCAGCCTGGTAACATTTGAGAGCTATCAGTAACAACACTTGCAGGGAGCCAGACACACACTTTAGATCACCAAGGAAAAGTGTGAGGACTAGCAAAATTTCAGAGAGACCAAATGGAAAAGCTAGATTTCCCAGAACACACAGGAAATCTTTCTTAAGTGGATACAGTATTAACCTGAGGCTCCCTGTGTTACTACAACTGTGAATTTGTGCATATTACAGTGCAAATGGTAGATACTCACCTCTTAGTATACATGTCTAAAGCAAAACACAAAACAACAACAAAGGTGCAGCCTTCTGTTTCAGTCCCTTTCAACCACTCCAAGTTTTAAACCCCACAATTTTCAAACTTTAGAAATGACTGGAAAGAGATTTTGGATCTATTACTTTTGTCACATAGCCTAAAAAAGACATGGACTTGCTGGACCCTGTCAGTCAACGGAGAGCATGCAGCAGTGAGGGAGTCTGCAGCCGTGCAATGATCCAGTGTGCCGAGAGCCGCCGGGGCCACCACACCTACCTCCATGTGAGCGAAGGCAGCTATCTCGTGGGAACTCTCCTTCACACTCGGGCTTTCATTGCTACAAGTTAGAAGTGTCAAATGCCAAATGTCCTATTTTAATATCAGCATATTATCCATATAGGGTCATGACAGGTACCAGGTCAGGACGGGAATTTTATCTCCATTTGAGTAGTGACTGGCACTTATACGATAACCTGATGATTAGCAGAGCCTCAGAAGTCAAATGCTATGGTGTCTCCTATTCAAAGTGATCTTTACAAAATCCAGGCGCCTGTTCAGACTTAGGAGGTCATGTTAATTAATAAAGAAACTCTGAGGCAGACAACAGAATGAACACCATAATGTTTCTTTACGTCTTTTTCTAAAACCATACAAAAATATTGCTTTTTTGGCGTAATTCCCTTGCCATTCATAGACAACACTCTGTATGAGATTTTCATAACCTTTTTTTTTTTAGCTTTCAAACAAGACTGTATAGGTGAAATAGGAATTAATCTTCTCTTTGCACAATAAATCACCCTTTGTCATTGCAAAACACCCAACACAATGGACAATAAAAAAAGAAAAAAAAAAAACAAGCAGAAAATGCTAATCAGCCCCATTTTGTTGTGGAAGAAAGCCTTTACTTTTCATAACAAATTGGCTCAAAAAACCCACATCATACAAGAAACAAATGCAAGTCAATATTTATAAGACGACTAAAAACTGACATATAAGCTACCCAATTAATTTTAAATACTTCACTAGACAGTCTTTCTTTAGTTATTATACACCAATTCCTTAAGCACATCAGACTCACTGATATAAATATAATAATTACAATTAAATCCCTAAATGTACTGCTGGCTCAGTACTTCAAAATTCAAATGCAAAATCAGAATCCAGCACTGACATATAAGCTACCCAATTAATTTTAAATACTTCACTAGACAGTCTTTCTTTAGTTATTATACACCAATTCCTTAAGCACATCAGACTCACTGATATAAAAATAATAAATACAATTAAATCCCTAAATGTACTGCTGGCTCAGTACTTCAAAATTCAAATGCAAAATCAGAACATCCAGCACTGAACTAGATGGATAAATCCCAGGAAATTATACAGGATAATCATCTCTGGAGCAAACCTAGATTCAGACTGAGAACAGTGGGTGCAGAATACCCTGGTTCTGGAGGGTTATATCAGGGTTCCATCACAGGATCATAAATGGAGCATCGGCATTTGCCGTAGTCAAAAAAACACTATCAGGAAAAGATGGCATCAACTGAGGAACCTACTACAGCATTCGTAAGGATCCTGCATTTCTGTTCTTTTGAAACTGCAAAATATTGCAACTGGAAACAACGTGGAGATTTAAAACCATCTGTATGTGGAAGAGCTAAGTTTTAAAATCTGACAGCCCTTCATATTTAAGAGCTCTTTCCTTAAATGCACATAATTCTTTCGCACCTGAAATGAGATTCTGCCTTTTCCCCTTTCCTGGGGGAGTGACATAACATGTTATCTGTATAGTGAAAATACAAAGGCAAATTTCACTGCTTAAGAAGAATCAGGCAGACGTATACTTAAAAAGTCAAAAATACCTATAAAATTCCCAAGAGCTCTAATATTACAGGATTGTACAAAAGTTTTCCAGTGCTCAAATCTTTTGCTTGTTTTAAGACTTAGAGATTTGTGTCTAGATTTCAATACCTTCAACCCCAATGTGTAAAATAAAATCATCATCTCCAAACTCCCTCTTCCCCTATATTCTCATTCACCAGTAGTTATTTCAAGAGACTAAATGCAGCTGGGATTCAATAGTATTCTAACTGGATTGCAACACTGAAAACAGCACTAACCTGCCAATCTACCACACACAAGTCAGCTTCGCTGATGCTAGTAACCCCATCCAGACCAAGAGAACTACCTGCCCCTACAAAAGGGTCTCTTGTAAATATTCATTCATATTCATCCAGAATTTTTATTAAGAGACCGAATGCAATTTATGCAATAAACTGTTTAGGGCAAACATTTTGACTGTCAATCTCATTGAGCGGCTACCAGACAATGGAGACTGAAGTTCAAGAGAATGCCCTTCCTCTTTGAAGAAAAAGCCCAACAGTTTACAAGCTTTTCAATTTCTCATCTGCCTCTCATCTCTCAAATGTTTCATAGAAAACACCAAACTGTGAAGAATAAAAGACTATACTCAGAATACTGTAAAAAAATAGCACAAAGCTCTTCAAATTATTCAGTAATGTCAAACCACTTAAATTTATAATATTCTCCTTGACAGCTGCATGAGGAAAACCAAAAGAATCCCTCTGTTGAACAGCATTCAGTGAAGGAAAACGTGCAGCACTTAACAGAAGGGTAGCCCAAGATAAACAGTGACGAGGGAATCTTGTGGTTCCAAAGGCAGAGAAAAAATTCAGATTCGAGGTTGACTTCGTTGGGAAAATATTCCACAAGAAGGGATACAGAAAATAAACAGTGACAATATATTTTTCTTATTCAAAATTATGAAACAAAGAGGTCTAAATCCCAGCACCCTTTCAGCTCTTGAGAAAACAAATTCCATGGTAAAGACACTGATAGTGGCAGCCACAGAAACTTTTAAAAAAAGTGAACAAATTCAGATCAGACTGTAGGTTTTAGCAGTGTGAGAGAAAATCTGAGTAAAAAAAATAAAGTTCCTGTAAATTTGACATCCATCTTTAAAAATCATTCCTTGTCTCACACATTAATGATCTAACATGCTGGAAACACTGTTTTTAAAACTCAAGTTTAATCAATTCAAATGAATAGCACTCAAGAGAAATAAAATCACTAACACAGCAGCATAAGGGAAATGAAGTTATCTACATTTTCCATGCACTTTCACAAGTATTGGCCTTTCTGACCACAGTGCATGAATTTTAGGACTACAGAAAGAAGATGAACTATTGCTTTTCAGAAGATGATCACAATCATGATCAGTCTTTATTTTATTCATAAATACTATTTGTAATATACTTAGATATTTCTAACTACAACCATTACCTCTACTCTTTCAGCATGTTAAGCAGGGACAATAGCTACAAGTGTTTATTTCAAAAGTACTGATTATTGTAAAAATATATTAAAAATTACTATAAGCTATAAACATAGCTGTATGATTTATGTAGCATTAAAAGTGATTAGGGCCACAGCCATAATTTCCTAACTCTCCGCCTCCTTGGAGCTGTGAAAAGATTTCTAAAGAAATTGTGGCAGTATACATACACGCTATTATCTTGCCCCCCCAGCCATAATTTCCTAACTCTCCGCCGCCTTGGAGCTGTGAAAAGATTTCTAAAGAAATTGTGGCAGTATACATACACGCTATTATCTTCTGAAATCCAAGGGAAATCTTTTCCTGCTGTGCTTGCTTACTTGCAAAAATCTAATGTCACCAAGAAATTAGATGAATAAGCTATTTAATTCTGTATCTATGGTCCATACTAAATCATTTAGCATTTGGGAAAATAAAGCGCTCTGCGTTACGTTCACCAAGGACTTCTTGTTGCATGCATTTGTTTGACAGACTTGTTTGTATCATTCTAAGTCCTGACGATTGGAGCTGTGCTTCTTCAATTTAAGTAGTGGTCAAGTTTAGAACCTCAACAAAAACTACTGTGTCACAGAATACACCATGAAGAGAGACCTTCTTCTGACAAGCTTTCTAATAGAAAATGGAAGGAGTAAGCTCATCTGTAATCAGAAAGTTCAAGACAGCATGGTACTTCAAAGAGAAGTTAGCGTCTGATCAGCTGACAGGATCTTAGCATACACAAATGCCCAGAAGGTGTGAACTCTGAGCAAGTTGATCCATCTGCAAGTTTCTATTATAGTCTTAGATCAAAATATTTCCTCTGCAGAGTATTTTGAAGGTCAATCATTTTTCAATTAAAACCAGTTTGGCAACATACAGCATCAGGAAAATCATGTTCTGCACCACTTAAAATCAGTGCAATGTCGTTAACATTAAATTAAACATAAAAACGTTAAATTACTTCCAATGTTCTCACAAAGAACAAAATTATTCATTAAAGCTACCCACTTCTGATTGCTTTTCAAATAATGTAATAGAATTTTGGTCTTGCATATCTGATGGGAACATTTGCTCCACAAGAAAACCTTATCACTCAAGATAAAACTTTTGCAGCTTTCCCAATCGGAACAGATTTAAATCCTTATCAGCTTAATCCTCATTTCTCTCCCTTTCTCAAGAAAACGATCCACTGGAAGTTCAGTAGTACAGTTCCAAGACTAGAAAGAGATGCAAGGAAGAATTTTGTGGAATACTTCTCATCACAACTTTACTCATGATTTACTTATGGACACTGTAGCAGTTAAATCAGGCTTTTCTCAGTGCAGTAGATGAGAGACATTTTGTAACTCCACACTTTAAAAAGAAAGAAAAGTGAGATCTGTGGTATTTTGTGACTGTATATTGAGTTTTGAAGGTATTTTTACACGCCTTCACATATCTGTCTTACCTTGAGGGACATCATGTTTTAGTGCCATTTGCAGATATATCAAGAACATCCAGTAAAACAGACATGGCATTAACCCAGAGAAGGTTTTCAAGTTCTGCTAAAACCAGTGCTATCTGAAAGAAAAAAGCTATAGACTTGCTTCATCTGGCAGTAGTGTTGTATTAGTATACTTAGCCTGCTTCCAAAATTGCATGTCAATGCGTTTGCTTAACTTGCATTCTCCAAAACGTATATTCGGGGAAGTAGTCAAGTGAACACACACTTCTGATACATCAAGCCTCACTCATTCAGCACTGAGCATCACACCCCCGATTCCTCCCTCATGCTCCCCTGCATCTACCTCTAACATATTGGCATGGCTTTTTTCCCCACTCCATTAACCCACTGACCAGACCCAGCTGGCTCGCCTGATTCATACTGTTCTGGACAGCTGTGGCTGCTGCAGCAGATCACCAAGTTAATGAGAGGCCATGGAGCTGTACTAAAGCCAAGGACTGACTCTCAAATTAGATGAGAATTACATTCTCTTTTGCCAGAAAGCACCCTCTCCAGCTGCAAATAATGTGTCTTATTGTATGCTCCCATGTACCTCCTGTCCTGTAGGCAGGCAGTGTCCCACACCCAGAGAAGCAAAAACTTCAAGACTGGAAGTGCTCTTGAATTCGGACATCTGAATTATCTAAATTTCTTTAAATTACTTAAATCTCTTTGGAAAGCAGGATTATTTTATCATTGGTCCACATCTGGGATGACCAGCTGATGATTACTATTCAGCTTTCGAAAAGCAGCCAGTATGGCGTTAAAGAAATGTTAAACCACAGAAAAGTCAGCGTGTCATACCAAACTTGAATTTGCAGCCTGTTAAAAGAAATAAACAAGCAAACCCTGTATGCTGTTGTCTTTTCTTCCTTTTTTTTTTTTTCTTTTCATTGCTGCAGAAGTCCCTAGAGATTTCACTCCAGACAGAATGAAAAACTTTCATGGCAAAGGTAGGCTTTGGTTTATCACTAGGGAAAAGTACCCAGATAGGAAGTCAAGACTTCTACCACGAGAACATCGGAATTGTGATCTGAATTTTTGAGGCTGCAAAACACAGTCCTTTTGTAGCAGCCCTGGCTGAATGCTCCCTTTGCACTTCAAGTTGGCTCTTGTTTCTCTCCGCTGACTTTTGGAGCTCATTTTTCGAATGGACAATTCCACATTATCAGCCGAGGCTTTGAACGCTGACTGCAAGCGCACCAGCATCAACGACAGAGGCATTGCTGGAATACTCTTCTCTTCTATATTGATGCTTGAATGTCTCACACCGGATCCGGTGATATCATTTTAGAAGTGGAATGAAATTATTCCTGGTTAGGTGGAGATTAAATGCACATCATCTGTTACTGGACATCTGTTTAGGTTAATGCCCTCAGTATTCCTGGTGTTTCTCAGTAAGGGGAAATAAAGAGCTTTAAATAGCAAAACCCAAAGTGGAATAAAAATACTACATTTAATTAGCAGGAGCTACTGTCAAATAAAATGCATTTGAACTGTAAAACTAATTAATCAACTGGAAATCAAAGCAATCGCCATTTAGAGCGAAAAGGAAAAACATCCAGTTTGTTTTTGCCATCTCAAAAGTGACTGATTACCACCTAGCATTATAATGATATTCTTTCAGAGTAAATTATAGACTGGCTTCTCCTTTCTTGAATGTAAAGAAATAAATTTATTCCTTCTCAGCACTCCAGAAATGAGTTTTGAGTAAACTAGAACAGTAGATAAACAAATATTTTTTATTAAAAAAAAAAAATTAAGTCAGCCATACTAAATGAGTGCAACAAATGCAACATGAATACTACCTACAGAGTTTCCATGTTAAGAGAGACAAAGCACAGACAGCAATCAAAGCACAACCAACACATGCTACTTAGAGGTTCTCTGACAAAACAGACAGCTCTCCTTTACCAGCTCACTGGAAAAGGACTGGAAAAATATCCCTGCTAGTTTCTACACTGTATATTTAGAACTAGTTTGCTAAATATCCTATAATGGCTGAGGAAGAACAGCTGGTACACCCAAGGTCACTGTTCATCTCAGAGAATTATGATTACCGTTAAAAACTTGGAGAGCTGCTATAATTTTTTGAGGTGATTATAGAATTATGATGTTTACTTCTAATGGCTTAATCCATGTTTGCAATAGGGTCTGCCTGGAGAATCCAACACTGATAAGGTAGCTAAACAGTTTCAGCCCTGAACTTATTTTTGCACTCACAAAACTTTCTGAAAAATTCTGTTCTGGCACTGAAATTCATTGCAACTGCCCTGACCTCCATCCACACATCCCCTGCTGCTTCTGAGAAGAGAAAGGGAAATCCATTTCACTCCTCCTGAGTTATGGCAGACTGAAGAACAATATATTTCTCCTTAGTTTAAGAGCTGACATACTTTTCCACCCTTTTCCACTTAATGGCTGAACTTTGAAACTTGGCATATACTTTATTACTCTTTTTGGATGATGTCCAAGACTAAGTTCAAATGAAAAACAGGTTGAATAATGGAGATATAAGTGATTGAAAACTCCCTGCAAAGTGTGCACAAACTCAGTAACTTCAAAATGTAATTCTCCCTTTTCCGATTATTGCAACAAGCAAACCCTGTGTCCAGAGCATCTCAACAGCACACTCTACGCTCCTTAAAATCTGAGTTTTCCATCCCAGAAGTGCTGCAACTTTATACACAGCCTCAGAGTCCCCATCACTGGGGGTTGGAAGTATTCCTGAGGAGACTGACTGTTCTATCAATATGAAGTAGTGGGGACATGGCAGCAGGATTGTTTTATAAGAGATTAACAAGGAAAGTTTTAGATTAGCATATCTTACCTCATGATTATAACACGCTGAGGGCAAGCGCACTACAAATTACCTGTCAATGAAGTTGCTATAATTCATTTAAGCTTCAGTAACTCAACCACATGCAGTTGCATGCTACATCCAAGAAGCATCATTCTTCTCTCAGCAGCCAGGGAAACCCAAGTGTGCTACGTACACAGATGATCTCCATTTCCTCCTGAAGGGCACGTTTGCCTTAGGCTCTCTCACACCACAAAGGTGGTGCAGCTAAAGAAACAGCTGCAGCCAGTAATCTAAATTCTCCTTCAATGCTCTAATCTCCAGAAATTCTTGTTGCTGAAGCTGAAAGGACTCCTCTAAAAAAATAATTCAAAGAAACTACAGACACTGACCTGTAATTAGCTCTCTCACTTCCATGTCATTTGTTTTTCGCAATAGTCTGATCAATGCAGGGATCCCATCACAGTTCTTTATAGCCACCTTGTTTTCATTATCCTTCCCATAGGAGATGTTTCTGAGAGCCCCGCAGGCTTTACGATGGACCTCTGGCTTCGGATGATCAAGTAGGCCCACCAAGATAGGTATCCCTTTAAGGTGCCTCACGTCCTTTTTGATTTTATCATTCTCGTAGCACAAGTGCTGCAAGTAGGCTGCGGCATTAGACTTGACTGGATCAATAGGGTGGCTGAGCATGGCAATTACTTCAGGGAGGTCAGGGTCCCTCCACCTGGGGTCTTTACGAATGCTGTCAATAGAGGGGGAGCGCTTCCCCAGACGGTCAATACTAGCCATGCTTCCTCTCTCTGGCTGTGCCAGCGGTGCTGCGTAGCCACCATGAAGGTAAGGGATCCTCTCTTCAACCATCTCTGTCTCGATGGGGTCATCGTAGCCCCTGTAAGAAGCAACAGTCCCAAGAGAAAGAAAGGGGAGGGGGAAAATAAGCACATTTAAACACATTGTACCTCTGAGCCAGTATGGAGATTTCAGCTATGAGCAAACCTTTTAATATCACAAACATCATTAGGGGCAGCATATTTACACTTTCAAATAATTTATTTGTAGTAACTTGAAAATTAACTATAGCTGAGTACTCAGCAGTGATGGGACTACAACACAGTATTTTTTTGGCTAGCAATGAAATGATGACAGGAACTGCAAGTCATCGAACAGATTGCTTTCATTTTGGTCACTTAGCAAAACAATTATGATAGAGCTGGATTACATTTAGTAGGAAGCACTGAGCTTCATTAACACCACTACTTCTGCAACAAACCAAAACTCTAATTAACAGCATTCAAGGCCTGGGCAGAGACCACAGACACTTTTCAGCTAGTCTGAGAAGTTCCACTACATTTCCATGTTGAGTTCAGTATACTCGTGTGAGCATCAATACACATAATAACATCAAAGATGAAGGAAAACCTAAGTCCTGAATCCAAGCATGTAATAAAAGTCTGTCTTGTACAGAATCATTTGTAATACAGGTAAGAGGCTGATGGTCAAGAGACCTGGGTCCAACTTTTAACACCAGAGTAGTTTGCTGGACATCCAAAACAAGTCCTGTACTCTGAGATTTCCTCCCCAGATGAGCAACTAGCCTGGACATTAGACACTCTTAAGATCATTTACAGCATTAGAATGAATGGCACCCATCTTGTGTTGTAATTCACTGTGTGTAACTGAAGTAAGGTCAGTCACAACCAGCTAACATGCCTATTTAGATATTACTGTCCTAGTTCACACAAAGGGCAAAGTTGCAATCAACAGAGTTGAAAATATTCTAACACAGTATATCCTCACACTACAAATGCCCATGTTCTTAAAAAAAACAAACCAACAAAAAACCCCAACAGTATTTGACAAATACTTCTTTTTCTTTAACAACCACCGCTGCAACTATAATCTCTAACCTTCAGAAAAAAATCCCCCCCCCCATCACTTCCTACAGCTAGCTGCTAAAGACAGAACATTTCTGCAAGAGATTTGTAAGGAAAGGCATTTACAACTTTAGAATTTGTTTTCGAGATTCACTTATATACTTCATCCCTTGTTCAAAGTGACACCTTTCATCCTCCAGAACATGCATCGTTCGTGCAGGGGAGCTTCAGTGCATGTGCGGTGCACCATTCTGTCAGATAATACTTAAGTCCTTAGGAGAAGTACAAAAGGAAATCTGAAACTTGCTTACAGTGACCCACTGGTCACAAATTCTTCAATTTTATATGTGAATAAGCCCACAGGGCAATAAGGCGACTTGCACCTAACAGTTATGAACTCCCACAAACACTTTCAACTTTGCAGTCTACCCTCTCTCAGACTTTGCCCCAAAGGCTCACACGAGCTCACTAACCTGGCTGAGAAGGATGAAGAGCTGAGATGACCCACTGGGGAGCTGAACCAAAATTCCAATTAATCCCATTGTTTTAAAACTCAAGTCTAGAAGATTTTTCTTCTTCATCCTCCCTTCCCTCTAATACTACTCTTAATAGATGTTAACATAAGCTGACTTCTTTTATATATTTTTTTTTTTTTAAACAGCAGCAGCTTTTTGCCTTATTGTTTCTTCCTCAACAGATTAGCTATTACCTCAGTATTGTAGTTATCTCAGTTAAGCAAGTAGGTTTAATTGCTACAAAATGATTCTTAAAAACTTTCATTTTAAGCACTGACTGATGTTACTGAACAATTTCTGATGTCATGCTGAAGGAAGCGTAGACCATTAGAACTCAGAAAGAAAATGGAGCTTGCTGTTATCCTAAAGGGACTGCTAATTAAACTAGACTCTGGGGAGGAGAGCAACCGGAGGTGGAGACTGAATTTAGTCTTGTACAATTAACACTCTTAATGTTAAAAGCGCTTCTACTGACATTAAGTTGCTTTAATTGCTGTTCTAAACCATAAACTGAATGAAAGGATAAAAATGGGCAAGTATCCAAAACTCAGAATGAATCTGAAGAAATCCTTTTATCGATGCAGTTATTTGTGTATGTATAATTCAGTACTTGCTCTACACAGTAATTTACAATGTCTGGACAGCCATTGTATTTTCTGTTACAGAACAAAGCTGTTTCCATCATTCCAAGAAGAAAGTAACAACACTGAAAAGATTTACTTTTGTGCATATACCCAGGGCAGAAGTAATAACAAAACCCCTTAACTACTCCTCAAACAAAATTCTGTTTTTACATATGCAAATTTGGGACAACCAGTATTAAAACTACAACAAAAAACTCATTTCTCAAACTCATCCTCATGTTAAATTCTTATTGACTGCATAAAAAAAAAGTAGATTAATTTTAATAATTGCCCTCTGCACAGCTGTTGCTTGCTTGACTTGGTAACTCGCAATTCAGCACGCCTCACTCCTATGAGCTGCCCACAAGATAACTGTACACCACCTCAATTACACCTGCACAATTAAGTTTCTCTCTCCTTCTCATCCATGCAAATACACAAAGATAATTATTGTCTTGGGATGCAGTTTGTTTGCATTATTTCCACGAAGTCTTCCAAACAGAACCACATAGATGGGCCCATCTCCCTCATGCTGTATCCTCTCCCCCGTGCCACACAAAGCTCCTTGTTTTCATTACATTTGCCCAAAATAAAACTTCAGTTAGGACTTTAAATTGCAACACTGTCATGACAAGAGAGAGCACCACATAACTCTTGTACCAACAATACTAACTTTTTTTAATTGTCAATGACTAGTTATTAAATATGAATGTGAATACCTGAAGTAAAGAATCAGTCATTAAAAACAAAAAAAGAAAAAAGATCACATCCCAACTTGCTACTTATTCTAACAAAGTTTTGTTGTTGTTTTGTTTTTTTTTTTTTTTCTTTTTTTTTTTTTTTTTTTAAAAAAAAAGGGTTTTTTCTTCCATTGTTCCAATACAAAGCTACTGATGCACCAAAGACGGCCAATAGGCTTTGATGATCCCTCTCTGATGAAATCCCCAGGACACAGAGCTGGGGTAGAACAGGATATGGGAAGATGCTGAGTGTTTCGTGCTGCAGGGAAGAGGTTACATTCCTGAGTGCCGTGGGCACGGAGAGCTGCAGATGGTTTAGGATGAATCACGCAGAGGGTGGTAGGGAGGGCAGCATTGCTTAGAACTCACCAGCTACTGCTCCGTGGTGAAGTGGTGACCACAGCACATACTGCTGGCTCCATCCCCACAGCAGAAGCAAAGCATCCTCAAGGAAACGGACCCTGAACCATAAGTGACTTTTAACAACTGTTGGCATTTTCATACGGTCCCATTCTTACATGAACCATTCACTTACAACTCTGTTCCTGCCAATCTCAACCTGATTCTGCTGGACCATCTCCTTCGTGAAAAAATAGGATTGCACGTCTAACGCGACTGTTTTAGTATACAGACAGCTACACTGAAACAAGACAGTGTCTCTCAAGTATTTGTAGAGAAAGGATGGACACAAGAAACACTATTGCTGAAATAAGCTCACGCAGGTCAGATCCAACATACCTCTTAGGATGAAACAGTGTCAAGAGCCACTGGTTAATGCACCAGTAACAAAACCCAATGACTTCACCTGGCAGCAAAGATAACACCTGGACACTTGACCCCTCAAGACCCTGAATAACTATCTAGAAACTCTGAGATCCTGGTGTGAACTTAAGAGCTGTACAAGAAAGCTCAAAGGCAAGTATCACACCAATTCAGATTCACAGGACTAAATACAGTGATCAAGTCTGGAGAAGGTTAAAAAAAAAACAACCAACCCAAAAAAAACAAAAACCCCCAAACAACCTACATGGTAATTAAAGGAAAAGAATCCTGAAATATTTTACAAGGGAAGCTCTAAATACCAGCTCTGCCATTGCTTTACAGCATTGAAGGGAAGCAGTTTACCAAAATAGATCATCTGCAAAGGAGCAAAATAACTGATCAGGCAGCGTAATGCAGAACTACCACAAGGCCTCTGTGCGAGTGAGGATGGCCCAGGTCAAGTCCCATCTCCCCTCCTTTAACAGGGAGCCTGGGGGCCAGAGAAGTGCAGACTAGGCAAAGAGTGAAGAAGGCAAAAGCAAGTATCTATCAGGGAGTAAACACACCCAGTTTCTGAAGACAAATGAGTAAAATCAGCAACACATTTACACACAGAGAGAGTAAAGAAATCACCCGAGTTGGACTGGTGGGGGCCAAATGCGATTTTTCACTTTCACACCAGCAGAGCCGCTACGTTGGAAAGGCAAGCCACTTGACACAGAAGGAAGACTAATGAGAGCTTCAGCAGACACAGTCATCTGGGCTCAGGAGGCCAAGAGCTCTTTTACTCTCGGGACTAAAGAGATCTGGTAGTACGCCAGAGTTGCTGACCACAAGCATCTTGCCTTCCATCTGTTTGTAGCAAGGCAGCTGAGTTTTTAGGATGCTGTGGGTCTCACTAATCACCTGTCTCAGGGAATTGATCAAAACACATTCTAGCATAGACAAAAACTGGGAGAGAGCTTGTGGATTTATCATCTTCCTTGTGGCTTCAACATTGGCACATTTGAGTAAACAGGTGAAGGATTTACACACTTAATCCTCAACAATTTGTACAAGTGTTACATTCATCACAGTTTGCAGCTGGTGTCTGCTTAGGATAAAAGACCAGAAAGGCTTGGGATTTCAGCAGGGAACTTTCTGCCAAACATTGAAGAGGAAATCTAAAGACTTTGCAGAATGAGGTCCTGCTTTTACCAGCCTCTCTTCCCTGACAGAAGGACGCACAAGAGGATTCAAAACTGGACTGAATCCTCTGCTGAGATAAGTCTGAGTTATGGGATGTACGGTTAAAACACCGAAATCCCCTTGACTGGAACCACCTAAAAGCTGCTAATGGATGAGCTGATTCAGGTTGCCGCCTGCCTTGTAAAACTCAGCCATACATCAGTCTTCCCCTACCAGAAGATCAACAAACTGAGATCAAATTCATTCTAAGGAGGAGCCTCAGAAAAACCCAAGTCTTCTCCAAACTGACCGCATTTTTTGCTTCACGCTGTTCCGCTCAGTCATGTCCATACACTCCTGCCCCAATCTAGACAACATCCCAATGTTGCCTACATGCTGGTATTACGCTTACGGTTGGTCATTAAACCAAAGAGGCCAATCTACAGTGACAGATATCTCCCCAGCCTTAAGGATGCCTCCATGGGTGCTGCTGTGAGACCACACTTGAAATAGGTGAAATTAGGCCAGAAGTGCTGACTGAAAGTTTATCTACAAATACAAGCCTTTATATTCTAGATTGAAAGAAGATACCAGAAGTAGAATGTGACTAACATGTATGTGATACCAATATTCTCACACTGTCTTATACATAACAGAAGCAAGAGAAACCTAGTGTTACAGTTATTTAATCTAAAATCTGGCTCATTTCCTGGTAGTAATAATTTGGACCATGAAGTGACCACCAAATGTAGTCTCAGTCTCTTAGATCAGGTTTCTGCCATAGAAAATTTAACAGCAGAAAACTCTTTTATCGTTGATTTAGTCAACATTAAAAATTCATATCCTGTCGAGTCTGGAATAACAACACTTGCAATAGCTGCTCCAGAGTTTTTTAGGGAAAAAGAAGTCCCATGAATGCTAGTACAAGTGCAAACTGTAGTGATCCACTCTGGAAAAAAAATTACCACAGAGGCTTGAAATGCAAAGTTGAAGAGAAGATAATTTAAAAAAATAAGATGAATTATGACTTGCCATTTTTTCCTGCTCATTTGTGTTAACTTCAATTTAATGATTAAAAAATACTCAAATAATAGTAGGGATTTTTTTTGTGAATGAAAAATATTCAGTACTTCCTGCTTCTCTTTCAAGAAGGATTTTATACAAAACACCTAGCAACACCATAAGACTACCTATTTTTAAAGACTATAATGAAAAACCTCCTAATTTAATAAAGGCAACCTGCCAAATGAAGGAAAAAAGGGCATAAAACCAGTTAAAGATGTGTAAATACCTTCACAAGTAAAACTTGAGAATGAAAAATATTCAGTACTTCCTGCTTCTCTTTCAAGAAGGATTTTATACAAAACACCTAGCAACACCATAAGACTACCTATTTTTAAAGACTATAATGAAAAACCTCCTAATTTAATAAAGGCAACCTGCCAAATGAGGGAAAAAAGGGCATAAAACCAGTTAAAGATGTGTAAATACCTTCACAAGTAAAACTTGAGTAATATTATTTCAGTATTTATTGATTTTAACACCCCAAATGCCTTTCTCTCACCCCGATTTATTATGCAATCTGACTTAAACCAAACCAGAGCACATGCTGAGGAAAAGAAGATTAAGTGCCAGGTATTCTTCTTGCAGAAAATAATGTGTCTTACAGCAGAGATCCAGTATAAAAGAAAGCAAGAAACAAACCCAGCCACAAGCACTGAAGAGCCAACAGAAGGTATATTTGCCTTTGTGCACTTACCTGGATTTGTAAGTGTTTGTGAGGAGGCACATTTTTCCCCAATTTAAAATGAAATATAAATAGCTTAAAATGAGGCTGGTGATGGCAGAAGGAAAGCACAAGAGATATTTATCTCTGTGGTCAAATGGAGCGGGCAAGGGATGGAAAGAACAATCTGTACTTGTAATCCCCCTGACTAGGATCTCCTCCAGACACAGCTGGGTTGACTCCTTATCACACAGGGGGCAAGACTCACTGCCACAGATTCAGATGAGAAACCTCCATTCAGTCCTCTCAGACAGAACAGCATCAAAACTAGAAACCGATAGTAAGGATCCTTATTCTACCTTTAAACTATTAACAAATGAGGGCAGCACTTACTGGGAAGAAAATGAGAGATAATAACTTAAGTTTCTGCAGCGAGTTAGCCAACAGAAGAATTCCATTCGCAACACAATAAAGATGCCCAAGCTGAAAGTCGGTGCAACATAGGAAAGCTTCTAACAGTGTTATTATACCTGCTCTACACATACAAGCTTTTTTAAATCAAAAGTGCCATCAATTTATCACATTCATTTAATCATTTTCACAAGGAATAACTTATTCTAAAAAACCTAGAGAGGAATAATCAAGTAGTAATTACCCTCATCTAGTACAAAGCACTATTTGTAGTCTTTAGTTTCTTGCAGATCAGTAGCATATCTGAAATGCAGGTTTATTGAATTGTTCAAGTATTTCTTTGAAATGTCAAAAAGTAACTACTTATGAAGAGGCCCTCATACAATCTTCTTATGTTCTCACCAGCTAAATTTTGCTGCCACAGTCAGGCTAATTACTTGTCAAAGCCTCTTGATCATATTAAATACGGGAAAAAAACCTCACAACAAAAGAAACGTAAAAGAAAAATTGTGAATTGGTCCTATCCAAACTGCAAGGAACAATAAATCAAAGGGATGTTTAACAAAAAAAACCCAAAAAACAACCAAAAAACTTTAAAAATGCAAATGGGTAGGTTCTAAGAATACATTTAATTATTCATCATGCATACAGTTTGAAAAATGTTAATAAAAATTTTAAAGCACTGCTGCCTGACTGTTTTTAACGAGAACTGTAAACTTGCTTAGATGCAGGGGAGCACCAATTAAAGTTTGATAGATTGATCAGTATTTTGGCACCCACTGGCTGCAGGTATTCCCTCTAGCCCCATAAAACATTGATGTGGTTCCACCAGTTGGTAAGCTTGCAAGGTCAAAGATGTCACAAGGGACTTAAAGTGGGTTCTGGGAGATATGCCTTGATACCTTTTCTTTTTTTTTTTTAAATACAGATAACAATTTGCAGGTGCTGGATTCCATTTAGCTTTAAATTGAACTTCCAGAAATGTGAAAGAAGATAGAGCTATGAAAGTATGAATGAAACCATGAATGACATAACATCTCCAAGTAGGAGCGCTCCAAGACAAGAGAGTGAAAAGGCCTACCCAAATCCCACCGACAACTAACACTGATGAAGTGAAGCCTTCAGTCAGAAGTATGGAGTCTAAAGATCATCTACACACACAGAGGCAGGTGGGTTCCAGACTCTCTTTACAGCTCTGGAAACTACTCCAAATTAAGAGGAAAATAATGAGAACTAAATCCATATCAAAACACGAATCATGAGGATATAACTTCCTGCAGGCACACGCAAAAGTTTGCACACTGCTTGCAAAACATAGTATACAAGTTTTTCAGGTTCATACTCAGAAGATGACTTTCAGCTGAGTAATAAGACTCTCTTCCCAAGCTTGTTTATTTTTTTTCCTCCAAATGCAAGAGCTGATAGCTGCGAGCCCAGCATAAACAACTAATATCAGAAAATATGGCATAAAATAGAACATTGCTCGGAAAGGGGACTGAACCAGAAGTAATGCGTGACTGGTCACTTCAGTTATATCAAGTACAACACAGATGCTCTTATCTCCCCTTTATATAGGCACAGGACAAAATAATGATCTGGTCTTACAAAATGTTGAAGTACTTCAGTGAGGTTCAGCAAAACCCGGTCACGTAGCTGAGGGTGTGCAGTTAGCACAGCATCAGGAGCTGAGGCTGTCAAACACCTCACAGGACAGCTTTTATAGAACAAGGCATCCCCTTCACCACCAGGTATCAGCTCATCTGCAACCCCAACCAGCTGTTCAAAGTTTTTGTTTGGCAGATGAGCACATAACCAGACCTGTGGGAAGTCCCACAGATTACAAATCCCTCTTTTCACCTTGCTAGTGTGGGATGGCTCTGGGACAATACAATACAGTCACAACTCTTTTTTAGGAAAAGGAAAAAAAGTAACTTAGCCCTCTTCTACAAGATCATCTCTTCCTTTCTAAATTCAACCTAAACCAAGCAGCCCAGAAACACAGTGAAAGGGTTCTTGAGCACCACCCTTACTCCCTTCTGTATTTCGTGTGCATTTTGCAGTCTTTTACGGGCTAATGAAATGATGCGTTCTACCTGTTCGTCTGTCAAGTAATTCCAGAACTTACCAGACCATTAAGAGTTCAAATGTACATGTTCAACTAAGCAAAACAGCTACAGATTAGCACTGTAAACAACAAATGGGTTTTACCTTCCTTTGTGAGGTCTTCCTCTCTCTGGCACACCTGCAGATGTCCTCCGGTTCACAGTGGAGTAATCAGGATCCAGTTCATATCCTTCATCATCTACTCCAAGGCTGCGGTTATCATCTTCCAGTCCATAGGGTTCTGGCTGGAAGCGTTCTGGCTGGGAGCGGTTCAAGTCAACGTTGCTACCCACTGGCACCTGTGGCTGGGCAACAGGACCGTAGTTATCCCTTCTGCTTGGCAAAGTGAAGCTACCATCATCTGGCCTGTAACTGTTTCCTGGCACGTAGGCATAGCGAGGGCGGTAGTTGACACCACGAGACAAGCTGCCATAGTTATCAGATAGATCTCCATAACCATCATGACCAATATAAGGGCGATACTGGCCTTCGTGGCTTTCAGGGTAAGAATCGTTGTAGCTGTTGTAAGATCTGGTTAACGTGGAAGATGCTTGTGGTGTGATGTACCGCTCCCCATTCTTCATGTACCTTCTGTCTATTGAATCTGTGTAGCTGCCCATGGGAGACGAGCCATCCATTGATGGCAGGCCATCAGGCCCAAGTGGCACCTGACGCACTGTTCTGGTGGTGACTGTTTTGACCATTTTGGTAACCTGTGAAGAAGTAGTGAATAAATATGTTAATTTTCTTCTTGCTGCACAATGTGATGAGACATACGGGGACCTAGAACAGCAAAATGGGGAGAGTGCATCACAAAGCATACTACAGTGACATGCCTGTTGAATGGAAGCACTGGTGTACTCATGAGTTCACCTATTAGGTTTAGGATTTAGTAGTGGGAAAGTATTTCTATAAAAAGCTGAAAAGACAGAGTTAAGTGCACTCTGGGGCTCTTACTACCAAATCAAACCCACTGCAGCCATGTGACAGTGCATGGAAGCAGTGCAAAGTCATTACACCAGTTCAGATTTGCCCAAAATGTTTTCAGGAGGCATCTTTCCTAGAGCAGACTACGATGCTGAGGTTTACAGCCTGTCCTCCCCACAATACCACATCGCATTCTCTAGTTTGACAGAAATACAGTTATATGCTCCTGCCTGATCTGTCCCACCGTGTAACTTAATGGAGCTCAAATTTGGCAGTAACATTTAGGAAACTATGAACTCAAACAGAAAAGTTTTGGGCTTCTAGCTTTTAGACAGCACCACCGCTTCCTCTTTTAAGCTATGTTACATCCAACTATCACCATACAAGCCCAACAGATAGTTGGTGTCATTCCATTATTTTGGTGATATTATTTGGCAATAACGAACATTAATGCCACACAGCTTTTGCAACTGCAACTACCCTAAACACACTGAGCTAGACAAGCTTGTTTAAAACATTAAAGAAAAATCTGTACACAAATACATATTTATCTTTTCTCCTATAAATAACACCTCATTTCAAAACAGATAGAATTAGACTATTTCACATAACTGACAAAAACTGGAAATGGTAAGTGTCCAGAGGGCACTTGTGTTCAGGGTTTCTTGCTAAAGGGTAAAAACAAAGACTCCTCAAGAGTTTCCAAGAACATTCCGCCTTCATGGGAAAGTTCTGGTAATCTGCATGAGACAGTGCCAGACAAAAGCCACTACTATTTACAAACTAGCAAAGGACCTTCTGTTTTGGTTGGTATCTGTGGTCCATGAACTTTTGCTGGTCACTCTGGAAGACAGTGCAGAAGCTGTTTTGGGGAGAATACAAAGTCCAGCAGAAGCCAATCTATCCTTACCCTAACCCTAATAAAGTTACCCTAACCCTAGTAAATGCCGACTTTAAGCCCTTTGTAAAAAAACCCAACCAAACAACAAAACAACACACCCACAAAGATATGAGAGAGAATCAATCCACCAGGCAGTATTACACACAGGGAGGAGAGGAACACAAAACAAAATTGTTAAGAGATATTTTGGGTTTCTACAGTATTACAGAAGTAAATAAGCATCAGTAAATGACACTTTTCTTCAAGTAGGCCGCAGAATGAAATGCGTACATCAAGAGAAACAGTAACTGTAACGTGTATTCCTGGATTGCTCAGTGGCTCTGAAGTCCAAATAGATGTTTTGACCTATAGCCTCTGATTTAAACATTTAGATTGGCACCAGATTAGCCAAGCTGCTGCTAAAACAAAATAATTAAGAGTACATCTCTTGAAGCAGCTCCAGACATGTCCTCTAGCCAGATGTTTTCACACAGAAACCCCAAATAGAAGAAAATCACCCAAACAGCATTTCTTTTCCTAGAGACATCTGTGAGCAAATGATGCTTCAGCCTAATGAAGTAATGAAATCCTGCAAGACTGAAAGCAGCACAAATGGCTTTCCACCAACAGCATAATTAAACAGCATCACGATGCTGAATAAAGCATAGCCAGGTACCAACATGACTTTAGTATCTAATCTGGGCCAGAGCTGAATGAATTTTCCTCTTCAATCCAAAGGGATTTCCTTAGCAAGTAAACATCAGGAAAGATGCTAGCTTCCATGCCTCCAAATCTTCTTTTTTCCCTTTTTTTTAAAAGCACACATTTTAATAACTAAAAGAAAGGAAACTAGAAACCAAACATTTATTTCATGACATAGAATCCAACAGCAGTTTTTGCTTATTACCTGCGCACAATACTTCTACTTTCCACTCAGTTATCAGCATGACTACTGTTATGGCATTTATAAAACTGGAGAGCATTCAGAGAAAAAAAAAAGAGCTGGCGTAGCTTACAGTAGCTCTTTGTAAAGTGGGTATACACAAGGCAACACAGCTCAGTATTCTCCTACTGAAGTCTGAAACAAAAGTTTTATTCAAAGTAATATGTTCATAAGTGATCTTCTAAGAGTAGAAAAAGCAACATTTCTCAGGCCTGAAATATGCGAGTTTTACAAAGCAATGACAAAACTGGATGCAAAGTGCTGGGCCTTTGCGTTCTTGAATTTGGGAACCAGTAACGGTAATAACAGGAAGGAAGGTAGCGTTTCAACAATTTGATGAATCAGAAATTGGTACTTTTGCTCAGGAAGGAACACAGAGGCAGCTTTCTAGACGCCAGGAAGAGCACTCCATAACCTCACAAAGCCCCTTCTTTCAGCACTATTCAACCGGAGCCAGATATTTTAAATCTAATTCAGAGTTTCTCTTTTCAAGACATATGTTGCCATGCATGCATAGTTTGTCACGTGTAATTTTTCATAAAATTGTCAAGATCAGACAATGCAAGATACCTAATAAACCACGTCTGGCTCCAGCAACAGCACGAAAGAAGGAACAAGCTTTGACCTGCAGGAACCTTGGACAACGGCTTTGCAGTGGAGGCATCGCTGCTGTGTCTTCACCCAGCATTCCTACTGCCAATTCTGGACTCTTGCCTGGTTTTGACTGTAATTTTTTTTTGGAGAATCACCATTATTGTCAAACAGGATGAGGTAACACAATGCAGAAATGTTATGGCAAGGACAATTGTCTACAAATATTCAGTACATGTACACAAAAAAGACAAAGCAGAATTTCAGAACACTTTGAAAATCAATTCCCAGACATTTTGTGACTTACCAGTTACACTTAATGAGTTTTCCCCATGCTCTGGTAATCTACAGAGTATTTACAGAGACTTTTTTTTTTTTTAATATGACCAACACAGAAGGCAGGAGATTAATTTCCAATTTTTTCCCAATTTGCCTTATTTCCTGTCTTCGAGACCAGCATAGACAAGTTTTCAATGGCTGTTGCTAGTCAAAAAGACACACTTAGCGTCAGCCAGCACATGTAAGGACAAGTTTCCAATGTTAGCACAGCCTCACCTCTATAATTTTCTGAACGCTGCCCCTGTTAGTGAGTGGAAGGAATCAGGACAATCAAAACCCCCTTGTCAGACACATAAAAAGGAACATTTCACTCAAGCATTAAAGTACACATTTCTCATAGCATAAAAGCATTCAATAATGCTAAAGGTGTTATAGTGGGGCAATCAGAGTCTTTTTATATTTCGAGAGAGAGGGAGTATTTGCACTCATGCCTCATTTGTCAGGGGTAGACATTGAGAGAGAAGATTTATCATGTGATAAACAGACTTTGCTGCCTACAGGACAATAAAGGGAAGCTTTTTGGAAGCAATTAGCCAGCACACAGAGGAAGGTCCATTTACTAGGTTTCCAAGCAAAAAACCCCAAACAAACCCCAAAACCAAAAGAAACCCCCCACAAAAACCAAAAAAACCCCATCCAACAAACCAAACATCTTTATTTCAGGAAATCCAGCTCAAGGGAATGTTTCATTTATATTTCTTAAAAGAACACCCGCAGTCTCAAGCAGCTGACAGCACAGTAATCTTCTCTCTCCTAACATTTTTGTGGTTTCCTTCGTACTGATGCATTAGCCAGAGAGAACAAAGCTGTTCCAAATGGGAGTCCCAGCACTGTCTTATCTGAGAGACACCTATCCTTCCGATGCACCCAATCTTGAAAGAGATTTAGTAGCATAAACTCCTCGCTACAGATATGCTCTAGTGAAAAATTTAGAGATACAAGTTACTTTGAGAAAGTGTAATTTGACTTCCTCTGTTTACTTTCCATCTCTAAAGAAAACCCATTTAAAGAGTTTTTTTAGCCCAATTACAAATCAAAGGTGCTCAATTGTTTCAGTGCTACAATCTCATAGAGTACCAGATGAAAGCTTCAGATTACTTCCCTATGAAGAGGTTGTCTGAGTATGCTTAAAATATATTTGCAATTCTTTATTTCCTATAAACTGTATTAAGGTTCCAACCACAGTAAAAAAAGAAAAAGTTCCAATATACCAACTTATTCAAGCCCTCTGGAACCAAAATCCTATGAGACTGCAAGTGGGTGCTTTCATTGCTGCTCCCCCACCCCAGAATATAACTACATGTCAGGTTTACTGACCTTACCGTTGTTCTCCTCCCCAAATAGCAATTATTTTGTTAAATAATTCCCCTACAGGCCCCATGATAATGTTTTCACTAATTCTGTTTCTGGAAATATATTTGCCAACAGAACACAAAAGAAATATTCACACATTTGAAGCAGCTTCTGTATTTTTCTGTCCCTCATTCTTCTATTTGTCTTGAAGGCTGGGAGAACAAACATGAAATTATCCAACCATTGGACCTACTGGATGCATTTGCAGATGGGACAAGTGGATCCCTCAAAGTGCACAGTGCTCAGACACAAGAGGAGGAAAGGCTGTACTGAGATTTCAGTTGGAGTGTGCTATCATGGTCAAATGCAGTCATCTTAACCAGCACCTACAATTTTGCCTTCCATTTTGTTACTGAGGTTGGTTTTGGTTTGCCTTTTTTTTTTTTTATAAATTAAGTACATTATAAAAGCTGACAGGGCTAAAAATTTTGTTGAAACTGTGTCATAAAACAAAAAACACAAGAAGGAATGTGTGAGGATAAAAGCATTCTGACATTTCTGAGAGCTTATTTTTGAACTACGGACTGTAAAAATTAATCAGCCCAAGCAGGTTGAAGCAATTACCTTTCTATTAAATGCTGTGTAAGAACTCACCCCGCAGGTTTTCAAAACAACAGCTCAAATTTCTCCCCTTCAATTTTAAGCTTAACATTTCACATTCTCAAAGGGCCCTCAACTTCGGCTGAAATCCATTCCTGTTCTATTACCTAATTCCCTTGAATTTTCTGCAAAGTTTTGAAGAACTGCATCTGCATGTGCCACTGCCACAACCGAAGATTTTCAGTCACGAGCGCTTTCCCATCGCTGGTGCTAGGAAGTGGGAGCAGCAGTTAATCCCTGTTGGGAAAGATCTGGCCTTGCTGAGTATTAGAAAGCACAAGGCAAATGGATGGACTGGAAATGAAACAACTTTGTATACAGATTGATTTCACAGTTTGTTATCATAAAACATCATTTTCAATGAATAAAAGTGACCTAAATCTCTCCAATCTTTTAGCGTTTCAAAGATAAAAATAAAAGGTGCCTGAAGAAAGAAAAAAGCAAACATTAACACAAGCACACACACATCTAATTTGCTTTACTGGATTCTCTTGAGCCACTTACAAACAGGCTCCCTTTAACACATGGCAGTATTCCAGCCGACAGGCAAGAAGTGGTAGTCTTCTCCCCAAGGTGACTTTCACTGTTTTAGCATGATAGGTATTTGGCTTCCAGAGAGATTATAAAGTTGAAATGAAGTATTATCTGCTACATCTTTTGCGTAGTGAATGTTATGTAGGGACTTAGTCAGTATAGTACTAAGAGAATAACAGTTTGGGGAAAATTGCTCAGAGAGATCTCATTTTGAAAAGGCAGATGTTCTCTATTTAAAATACGTAAAATATTAAATTCTATTATGCCTTCTTCCTGCTTCATTGCTACAGGCATCTTCAAAGATGTGGGGAAAAGCATATCTAAACTGTCAATGCTTCTGGATTAAGGTTGTTTACTTAATACACTATTGAAGAGAATAACCTCTATAAATAATAGTTTTGAGGGGGGGGGGGGGGGGCGGAATAAAGGAACAGCAGTGTACAGGAGCATTCCCATTTACAGCTTTTGTTATGTTTCAGTTCAAGAGGAGGAATTTCAGAGGCATCACTCTCCAGCAAGCTAAAGATTATACAATTTAACAAAAATAAACAACAATTATCTTTTAAAGATCCAAAAATACATACTAAATAGCATTAGGTTGACTAATCCCCAGATAAGCTATCCAGCAAAGAAAGCATACATTTTGAAAAACCTCTCCAGCCTCTTTGGCTCTTGAAAAACCGTGACCTGTGTTATTTACTCTGTCAGAGGAAGCATCTTATGCTGCCACTTCCTTTGCAAGACAAGTACGCTGGAGATTGAGACTGGCACTGTCCAGAGGAGCCTTCTAGTTACAGAGGTAATAAAAATAGGTTCTAAACCCTTCCTCAGAGAAGCCTAGAGCAAGCACAGCAATGTAGAACATAAAAATCTTTATTTGTATGTTGTGCTAACTACCTTGACTTAACAGATGACCCAAAGTAAAGGGGGGGGGGGGAAGCCAAGCAAAAGCCAACCCCCCCTAGCATTTAATGAATGCTGTATGACTATCTCAACTGTAAACATTACTTAATTAAGTAACAGATTAGATATTACTGAAAATAGATGTAAGGATTCCCACCATAGGAAATGCTGCTCCTTTACAAGGATAAGAAGTACCTGCACACTAAAAGCAAGGCCAGATTCATGGGGCAGGGTGTGTGTGTGTGGGGGGTGTTAGCGTTTGGGGGGGGTGGGGAGGGTGTGTTTAGCATTTTTTCCTTTTTTTTCTCCCCCGCCTTTCTTTTTTTTAAATCTGGGAGGGAACAGGCAGAGACATAGAACAGCAGTTTCTGGGCTCAAAGATCCTATTACTGCACACTGCATGCCCAGTGGACACGTGCTTGCATCTCTCATCCCAGAGAAATGCTTTCCTTCGCTGTCCTCATCCGAGCAGCAAGGTCAGAATTTTGCCACTGCACAGAGGTACCAGAAACTTAATTTTCTCTGTAAGGCGCTCTCATATAATAATACGACCTATAAAAGCATAATGATGATACCTATTAGAAGTGATAGTAAGTCAATACCAATTAACTCCAGGACACTTAACTGATGCTACAAAACCCCAGTGACAACAGTTTTCATTTTCACGTTCCCTATCAAAACAAAAAGCAAGTTGAAGACGAACGTGATTAAAAAAAATGTAAAAAAATCTGACCTCAGATTCATATCTAAGAGCTGTTAAATCTATGCCATATTACCACAGCAAGGAAAAGTCAAAACAAAACCATTTCAGAGACAACCACCTCAGCAAAGTCGCAGCACCTCTTCTGACAGAGTTAGGGCTAAGCCAACCCCATCTGTGTTTTGACATTTCAGAATCACTTTTCTCAACAACTGGATTTTTTTTAAGTCAGCCTTTTTAGCAGTGAAATAATAGGAAACACCTCCAGACAGTATGTAAGTTGAAGTCAGTGAAATTATTTGAAAAAACATAAATGCAGAGCGAGACAGCTATGCACTCTTCCCCCATTCTGAACACAGCTGAGTGCCTGGAATGAACTACAGTAACAGAAGAAAGCCTCGCTCTTAGAAATGGAACAGTAGCTCTAGGGTTGCTGTTTTTTCAATTTTCCCATATGCAGATACAACGCCTGTTTTGGAGCTGCCACTGTCCTTTTCTGTGGGAAGATGGAAAAATAGCAGGCACACCACACATAGGAGAAAATCGCACCTTTTACACTATGACAAACATGCAGCTTTATCAGTAGCATGACTATTTCAGACAAACTATTTCATTCCATGTGGTCCCGTTATCTAGGGACCACTGCATGGCCTCTCCTCTATTTTTACAGTTGTAGCTATCATTTTATTCCCTTGCATAGCTGCACTTACAGTCTCCTAAAACTATGCACTACTATTAGTGCATATAAAAAGGTGTCCATTCACCACTGTAATTTTATCACTTCCTTCCTGTAAGTAACAGTTGTTGTTGCTGCCACTAGAAAGAAAACAACATTTCTTTCAAATAAGTCACAGATTAAATACATTAGATTATTTGAAGAGCTACTAAAAATTTGGGATCTTTTGTTTGTCTGTTTTATTTTTAAGACCTTAATCTCCTTCCAACAATGAGAAAATAGGCCAGTTATATTTATCTTCTAACATTAAACCAGCTACTCAGTTTATAGCAATGTTTGCAGGCCCACTGACCTCAGGAAATCAACATTCATTTACTCCAACCTGACGATCTGATGGCCTGAATGGATATCTTAGAGGACTGCAATTCTGGAATGCCAGTAAAAATAAACACCGATTTATGCCGTGACCTCTGTTCAACTCCTTTTAACACAGAAAGCAGCTGGACAGCCTCTTTTTTATAATCAGTGCTGTTCAGAAGTTTTTAAAAAGGGAATCATCCTTAATCTTTCACAAGACCAAAACCTAACAAAGATATCAGCTCAACTTCCAAGACCCAGGTGTCAAGGTGTATTAGTATTCCAGTGGTATCCGAAAGCATGTGAGGCAGCCATGAATATACAGCACCTTCTTAGCAGAGACTGCAGAATTACCTTACACAAGGGAACGAAAAGACATCAGGAAAATTAGAACATATGCAACACCTGTAATCCAGCAGAACCTGAGGTACAGGTCACTTGGGAACACACCCAGCTTTCCCCATGCATCAGGACCAAAATTCCATTCACAAGACTGTTGGAGAATTTAAATGCTGTGGTGTTATTTAATTAGGATGTTTCTCGTTCTAAAGGACAAACACATAATCGCATATTGTTATTACAGATAACATATTTCCAAGCAAATTTTCCTCAGCTGCAAAAGTAATTTACTCCAAGCCCTACCAACTTATCTAATTCTCGTATCACCGTATGTGTTTGCAGGGCAATGCTGTGAACTGTTTCGGTAAAAAAAGTGAATCTTAAAAGAATAAACAGTCTGGGAAAGGGTTCTAGTGTTTTTGTTTGGGTTAACCTGGATAATTTCTACTGTTCCGTTCGCAGCTCCATGAACAGCTGTATCAGCACAGCTGATAGGGAGCAAACTAGACATAAGAGGCAAAGCTGAAAAAGCCCTGAACTCAGCTTTGCTGGCAAACAGAACATTCAAAATCACTGAGGATCACAATAGCATGATTGTCACCACTCATGGTACTCTCTGCTATTTTTATTTTGTGATTAGGTGGTATTTTGCCATTTTCCTCATTGGTTATTATCCTCTCACCTTGGTTTCAGTTCTCCTTGTGGTTCCATCTTCAGAAGTGACAATAGACACATGGGAAGTGGGAGTGCCTGGGTCTTCCTCCACAGTAACTGTCTCTTCCACCATTTCTTGAGGCTCTTGCATCATTGCTATTGATGTCTGGTTACTGGGGCTTTGTTCCTAAAGCAGCAGGTAAAAAAAAAAAAAACAAAACAAAAAACACACAAAACTTTTCACTTCTACCATCGTGGCATAACTATTCTATCGATTTTGGCTTTCTCAATTGAAAAACATTTTACCCAACAACTTGCAAGTAGAGATTCAGAGAACGAAGTATTTACTGTCTCGAAAAAGCATGCTGCAAACTATGCTGGTATGGCTAGGCTCAGCTCAGTAAATGGAAATCACGTGAAGCATCTATCAAGGACTTCATATTTATAGGCAACCTACTACAAACTACTACCTTGTATTTAAACCTGCTTCAAGCTTTCTCTTTGATGCCCAGCGTAGGAGGAGTGGAATTTTTGTCTGTAAAAACATTCATTCAGTTCCACAGTGAACAGGACCATTGGCTTTCAGAGCAGTTAATCTTACACACCATTAAAAGTTTATTTCCATTTGATAAAATACACTCAGTTGCAGACTACAGAAGGCTATAAAACATCAAGACCTACTATTAAACTGACACCTTTCTCAAACTGTCCAAAGCAATGATAATTTTAAAAAATGGATAGCTAGAGATTAATAGCTGAATTATGTGAAATGCTACCTTCCCTTCGCTAAGTCCGTAGATCTAACTGGTTATAAGCTTATTTAAAATTTAAAACAGCTAGACAACATAAAGAAACACTAAACAGAAAGTAGATCAAAGGACGGTTCTTGTAGGGATACTGCCCAAAGAGAACACTTCTGCTCCTCGCCAGCAGTAACATCCGAACCTTCCTTTTTCTTACACAATTGTGTGTCTCAGCACAGAAACCAGAGAAGCTCCCCTTTGGTAGAGGAATATATTTCAGAAGTTTCACAGCAAGTGGCCAATAAAGAACCGGCTTACATACTGAGAAATAAGACTTTTCCCGACATTATGAATCCTCAACTACATAAAATGAAATGATGGACTGTTCATTTCATTATAAGCCCTGAAGGTATCGGGCTACACAGGCCTCAAAGCCAAAGCAGGGCTTCTATTTGCACATCTTGTCAAACAGGCACACAAAGAACATCCTTTATTAAGGAACATATATATACACACACAGACACACTTTTTTTCCGTATTTAAAAAAAAGAAAAATAAGGAAAGGAATGACACAGAGGTGTAAATTGCAAAGTGAACACACTTTCCCTAAAAAAACCACCGTGGGCAAATTCAGTATAGCTTTTCACATCACAGGAAAACAAAACTGTTGCCATGCAGGTGCTGAGTCTAATTACATAAAGGTTTAAATATTCTCTACTTGTGGGCAGCTTCATCACCAGGGAACTACAGCATTTTAATTTGTAACATTTTATTTAGAAAAATTGCATTTCATCCCAACGATGAACTTTGGATTGCCCCTTTTGCTGTGCCATGTTTTGTGCAAGCCCTGAAGGACAGTATCCTTCCGAGTGACCTTATGCTGCTGAGCAGGAGCAGGGGTACTGAGGTCTCATTAAGATCCTCAGTGAAAAGTGTCATTTAATCCTTGTGCCATCTATAATTTCCTTTGAAACAAGCTGAGATGCCCCTGTTCAGTTTCCTTTATTTACAGCTGTATTCTGACATTCTAGAACTTGGACTTCAGTTAGGAAGCTGCTTTCATTTTCAGGTAAGCGCTAATATTAACCAAGACCACAACAATAAGCCTCAGGCAATCATCTCGGTCAAAATGCAACATGGACAGCCTTCAAAGATTACACATGCTGGACCACCAGAGGTGATATAAGCAGGCACTACTTCCATTTCTATTGAAACCACAGAATAACTCAGGCTACAGAATCAATCAATGAGAACAAGGCTTCTGAAATCCTAAAGAAAAATCACTCCTTCCAGTCTGCAGTACTTAATCATTATGGCCAATAACTTACAATACACACCGAATCCTTTATGGTATGGTTCAGATGTCAGATTGTGTCTTCTGCCCACAGCTTCAGAAGGGAAACTAGCTCCTGGGACTATATATAGTCTATATATATATAGACTATATTCAGCTATATATATATATTAACTATATATATAACTATAATAAATTAATATATTAACCCCTTCACATTTTTCTTGAAGATACTATATTCTAACAGCAAGTCCCTTTTCCCCACCCCACAGTAAAGCTTCCCTCTAAACAGAAGAATTTACACAATATTGCAATATACTAAAGACTCGGAACTTGTATTCATCTTCATGCATCCCCAGCCTTACCAACAGCAAAGAAACCTGTTACATGTAGAGATTTTTTGCTATTACACCTTGTCCCTGTAAACCTCATCATCATCTCCAAGGCATCGAATGCCAAAATTCCTTCAAGGTGGGACCTTCTCACTCCTCTCACACATGTACGCACATATACACATCTCATCCATCATCCTCATTTCTAGCTGCATCTTAAGGTGACTGTGTGAATTTACATCTCTTCGTTCCCCTCTAGATTCTTCAGAGGCAAACTCTGCTTTGTGATAATAAACCTGAGGAGATGGAAGGTGGAAAGAAATATTTTGCTCTGTGAGCTTTTGCAAAACTTTTTCTTTATGAAAAAAATAAAGTTTCCCTTTGTATTCAGACTGCCTGTGGGCAAAGGAAACCTTTAAAGCTGGGCACTTAAACATGAGCAAATTGCAAACTAGAGCATATTGACTTTAAATGAGCACTGCGCTAGTTTTTGTCCTCTGGCTGCTTCTAAAATGAAAATGCAGGGAGATATGGTACACATCTGCATTCCTACAAGAGAAAACTATTGTTAGCAAGAGACTGTCCTAAGCATCAGAAAGAATAAAAGCTTGCGAAGTTCAAGGTAAATATCCCAACACAGACAACTAACCAGACTGCATTTTCTTGTGTCTTCCTTCTTATTATGTGAGCTATTGAGGACAGCATATCATCCAGCTTACTCCCTGAATTAGCTTAAGGAGGTGGTTCTTTGATCTCTAAAACCAGTACTTTTTCCACATCGCTAACTTGGAGTTGTCACAAGCTAACATTAATGTAGAAAAGATGCAAAGATTGTTATCTGGTTTTAGTTTCCATCATTAAGGATTTTAGGTCATCACAAATTGGAGAAACTAGGACACGTTACCCCTTTCAACCACCTTCCTCTGTGCTCAGCTTCTAAGGCAATATTTAGGACGCTCTTTTGCTAAATACATCTCAGCATCTCAGATTCCAAACATTTGGCAGGTAAGCCTAAAGTAAAACACACGTTGCCAGATAAAGCTGGAACATGACACCCCTATGAATAATCCTACTGGTAGTTCCCTGCCTGCTAGAGGTAGGTAATTCCAGTTTAGAACAACACACACTCATTCATTTACCTTGCTGGAGGCCTTCAAAGCAAAAGCAACCAGACAATTCCTCTTTTGCTATCACACTGGCCAGGACCCTGTCGTCCTTCCCCTACTGTCAAACAAGAGGGTGTTGTCCAGTACCAGAGGGATCTGCCATGCCACAGCAATCACTGTCATCAGCTGAGCATCTGGGAAGACCAAATCTAAAGGGACCTTCTTTCCAGTCCTCTTCAATGGGAATGGGATCCTTGACAGTTCCTGCAGGCTGGCTCCCTCCTCCTCCAGGGACCCTCCCTTTGAAACACTCGAGGCACAACAGCCAAACTACAGAAATCGTGTCACAGGGAACATCAAGGGCCAGCAGCTCCCTGAGGGACGTGGCGCTGAGAGGGATCCCTTGGATGGCTGGGCAGGGGCCTCGCTGGCTGGGGCCCACTTCCACAGCACCCGAGCGAGGTGAGCAGGACAAACCTGGGATGGCAGCCAGGTCCCACCAAGAGGCAGTAACACGGTGATGAGGGAGGCTCAAGGTCAACCTGGGAAGCAAATCTGCAGGTCAGGGTTAGGATCAGGTCCAGTGATAGCCAGGCACATCCACAGTGATAAGGCAGGTCTGAGGTCTGCAGGTCAGGGTCTGGATCAATGGGGTCCCTGGCCAGGCGCAGGCATGGCTGTAGCTCACCTGGAGACCAGTACTCCTCCAGCATAGCCCAAGCATGGACTGAGGGCTCAGGGCTGAGCTCCCAGGTCTCTGGGTGGAAGCCCCACGTGAAGCTGGTCAGGGCCACTGAGGTCTGTCAGTGCCCTCAGGGCCCTGAGCGATCCCACAGCCCCTCTAAAATGGCAGCAGGAGTTCTCTTGCGATAAACACACACACAGCAAGGTGATATCCCCCCCAAAATTGCTAAGCATTACCCATGAGGTCCCTTTCAAATAATAATCTTTGGCTCCTCCCAAGAAGATTACAAAACAACACCAAGTTATGAGAAGAGATTCCAATCCAGTTATTGCATAGGGTGTCAGTAGTCATGGCTTTTCTCCCTGCTTTTTTGAGTATCAAATGAATCCTATCCTTTTGATGTGTTCTTGCATCTCCAGCGTGCTTTAAAAAAGCCAATTTATCCCCAGCCTGTAAAAGTTAAGTGCAGATGAAACAGCTAAAGACCTTGTAAAATAAGCAAGAATCATAAAATAACAGTAATTCTTGTTTTGTTAAAAAACAGAGTGATTTACCATTTAGAGCACATATCTCCTAGGGCTTATTTTGCATTAGAATACTATAGCTTCTATAATCATCACCATTTCAATTCCTAGAGTTATATTTCCATCCAAGCAGCTATTTTATATCTTTTTTAATAAAAGAATAACCTCCCCCAGGAGTATCAGACATCCTACTTTAAAACAGTAAACAACGTTCTTCATTTGCTGCCTATGAAACAATTTAAAACAGTCTGGAAATAATATAAAATTGCAGGAGATTATTACTTCTACTAAAACAGTCCCTCTTCAAAAACACTGAAAACACGTACATCAAATCATCGTTCTCCCAGAGATACCCTTTGTTCAGTAGATTGCAATGCAGGCTATTCAGGCTACTGCTTACTCCAGGTTACTGTCAGATACCAAATTTGAAGGTTTTTGCAAAGCACAAAGGCTGGATTCTACACCAGTGGACGTACTTGTCCTCAGTCGACCCCAGCGCAGACAAAGCTCAAGTGTATCAACTCCTGTGAAACACATTACAAGTCTGGGCATAATGAATGGCATTGGACAACAATGCTAATTGAATTAAACGTGGATTCTCTCTCCTCCTCCTACTCTTTGTTTAAATTACTTACTAAAGCTTCAATCTCTGTGAAGCATGAGATTATTTACAAGTGCAAAGCAGGCAAACATCAGTTTTGCCAGAGTCAAGTCTCATGCTGACATTCTGCCCCACTGGTCTCCTTCCAACTTAGGTCTGCACTTCCAGCTCAGTCATGTCCTTAAGGCTATTTGCTGAAGGCATGTGGAGGAGAAAGGAAGACAAAAAAAGGCAAGTCTGCAGGAACACATCAATCCAACAAGTCTATCTAGAGACCTGCATCAGATTGGTATCCCAATGGGACATCAAAAGGGAAGAAAATCACTGGTGGAGTTTGTTGAACTTGGTGTATTTGTGACAGATCTTTCTCCAATAAAAGATCCATCTCCCCAGCAGCTGAAGACTCTCAGATCTGATTACCATCACATTCTCCTGCCTTGTCAGAGCTGCCTTTCTTTCACCACAGCCTGAAGATCCCTGCTGTGCTCTCTGCTCTGGATTTGTCCGGAGAGCTTTTTGTGCATCTCAGTAGCGCAACAGCTGGACTCCAAGCTAACCAGCACATGCACCTCACGGAGCCTGTATCATCCGAGAGGCAGCTGTAGAGGAGACTGTCTTACTTTTTTAGATCGTGCTTCAGGAACAGCGAAACAAGTAAGCCCTCACGTACAGCAGCACTTGCACTACTGCGAGGCAGGGCACCTTCTGGAAGAACACGGAGGCCTTATGTTCAAGGACTGCCACGTGCTGCACCCCTCCAGTTCAAAAAACACAGCAAGGTCCAGGTCTTCAGCACCAAGCACAGGCGCTCAGTCACACCTATCTAAACTCTTCACAATCAGAGGAAACACTGCTGCAATGACGACACATTATTCAGGCAAAATGGCACCGAAACAATGAAAAGCACACAGACTAGCCCGTACTGAAACCTAGGCAGTGTATAACACTGGAAAGAGTTTGCAAGATAGACAATGATTTTAAGATGGGAATACATAAATACCTACTTTGCTGCAGATAAACTGATCTCCACCTAGTAAGCCTACTTCTCTGGTTAGATGTCACGTGAAACAAAATGTGTTTTTTATATATATAAATATATATATGTATATATACAATGGATTCAGTTCACTTCAATGTGAACCCAAACACATTAACCTATGACAAGCTTCAGGCTCTCTGTTAGAGCTCTCACACAAGCTCTACCCTAAGGCTGGTCAGTTCAGAACATAAGGAAAATGTTAGCCCTAAATGAAAGCAGGCTGTCCTGGCATGGGGTACCAGAATGAACTCAGCCACACACCACAATGCACTAACTGTTTCCTGAACACTTACACACTTCCTTTGTCCTTTAGAAACACACACGACAAGCGACTAACAAATAATGCCAAGAGCTTTTAAAGCACCAAGGTTAAAAAGGAACGTTTCAGCAACTGAAAAAAACCCTCAACTGCACAAGTTTTGAAAAGCCACAAAGAGCAGCTTTTTTTGCAAGCAGGCATGGTAATTCACCATCTGAAGGCATCACACCTTTCAGGGAAAGCAAGAGGCGGAGGTGAAGGAGAAGGAATCAAAACCCAGACGAGGCCTGTAGTAGTAATATTCATCCCTCAAGTACTGCAGGACACACTGGGGTTCTGTTCAGCCACGCGGTAACTGCCCATCAACAGGGAAATCTACAGTGCTTGCCCAACGGTCAACAAAGAGGGCTTTTATGCTATTTTAAACAATCTGAAGTGTCTCAGTTAATGGAAGACCAGGCAATTGGCCCTCAACTATTTCTAATTGACTGGAATGATGGATGAAGCTAAAGGGAAAGCTGACCCACTGAACTTTTCCATACAAAGCTAGAAAACTGAAGGAGATTGTAAACAGTTTATAAGAACAAGAAGTGGGAGAGGCAGAATCCCAGAGGCTTTGCTCCCCTCAACCCGCTGTTAAGTTGTTTCAGACGAAGGAAAACAAAGAGCTTCAACTCAGAGCAACAAACAACAAAAAATACAGGGGAAGGCCTAAACAAATAGGGTATTTTTCCCATGCTCTCCTCTCCTTTCTCCAGTAGCTACTTAGCTCTGCCATGCAAGCTGGTCCTTTGAATCAGAAAGGGCAATTTGTCACTTTGACAAGTAAGACGTCTCTCAGGGCTCTGTATTGCCTTGCCCTGCTTTTCAGATTGACTGGGTGTTAACCAAAGATGTCAAGACATTACATCTCAGTTAGCTTCAACAGATGTGATAATATATACTTAAAACTTAGGTGTTAATCAGTCCCACTACACTAAAAGGTAATGCTCAGAAAATCACGCACGCCCATTGATTTTCAGAACAAAACAATCACTGCTAGCTTTTGTACTGCAAAAGGGCAATACTGCTGCAATGTGATAGAGCAGTTTGCTGACCTAAACAGCTCCTAGGAGAGAAGAGTGAGGACACACATCTTCCAGGTAAGGAAATGGATGCATAATAGGTTCAAATTCACAGCACCTATCTTCAGACAGCTTAGCGAGGTATCTAAATGCACAATAACTTAATTCTTCCTCTTTAGTCAAAAAGAAGAAAAAGAAGAATAGAAGCTTCAGAGAACAGTTCAGATCTTGCACAGACTAAATCACCTCCTTGGACACATCCAGCTCTTGCCACCGATTCTGCAAGTTTCATGACATCAAGCACTTCAAGAAAGCATTAAAGCTGGGGGATGAATCCAGGCCTCAGAGTCCTGATGTAAGAAGCCTGTGGTAGAACCCGGAACTGGACGAGGGTATCACAATTCATCATTCAGTCCCTTAGTCACAAGCCCTTTTTCTCCCCCAGTGGTTCAGCAAGATCAAGTAGTAAAACAGAAGCATAAACCATTATTTTTAATATGAAAATGATAAAGGCAAAAATCCCAAAGAACACCTGGCACACACAGTGTTAGGGCTAGCCCTATTTCTCTTAGCTGTCAACAGCATGGCTAGTGTTTATTTGGAAAGTTTGCTCACTAGGAAACCATAATAAATGAGCAGGAAATGACTGTTTCTCACCAAGATTTGTACAGAAAGTTCAGTGGGATTTGCCAAACTACCTCCCAAAGACAAACACAATGCAAATCTGCATGCCCAATCTTTGACCAAACCCAGAACAGATCTGACTTGCTTCCTCTCTGGAGTCTTTCAGATGAACTAACCAAGGCTAAATTAAGGAGATTTTTAGTGGGATGAGGTTACATCATGGATTACAATTTTCCAGCAAGCTTTTTCCTTCATCTCCACCTGCTGCCTCTACAATGCTGGCATTAAGGGTGGTGTGGGATGACTCATTTGTACATTCCTTTCTGCAAGACAGGCATTCAGCTTTCACTTCTTGGCCCCACAGAGTTTGGGTCATAAATTAAACTGACACATGTATTACTAGATATCAAGTCCACAAACTTACATGCACATAGGATTCAGAAGTACAAGCTAGGTCCTTCATCTAGAACAAAAAAAAAAAGAACCATCAGTTTGGCAGAGTACAGCAGCAAGTGTCCCAGATTCTACCCCAGCCACTCAAACACACCACTACTGCGTTAAACCAAAATCTGCCAGACCCAGCCTGTCAGTTCTAGGCTAACACATGCACGCCTACTTGCACTGCTACGAAACTACCTTAGAGAATTGCTTTTTAACTTCAAGGCAGATGTAAACCATCTCTGCATTCTTTGAATTACAACCAAGACTGGAACATTATTTGGGTGTCCTAGCAGCCATATCAGATCAGTGTTAAATTTAACTAATCTCCTCACCCACCCACAATCTTGCCCTGTAGATCTGAACTACGCAACAAAAATGCTTTTTGTGGCAAAACACACCACCACAACACAAAAAGCAAAAAAAAAAAAGCTTTTATAATCTTGAGGGAGACAGAACAAATGGACTACTGATGAATTTTTAAGACTGCATTCCAAGAAAACTGTTTCTTAAATAAATTATTGCTCATTCTAGGGAATACAAAGTGACTGACAATAAATCTAATCACCTGTCTCATAAGAAATGTGCTTGCCAATGTCTCCCACTATAAAGCACCAAAGCAGGTTTGCTTGGCACCAAGACAGCAGGACTGCTTCAGTCCAAACAGCTCCCCAAGAGATTACCCATGCTAAATCACATTCTACTTCTTCCCTCTGCATCTCGCCCTCTTCCCTCCCAGCCCCACACCAAAAGCCACCGTCTAAACAAAACATAGCAGGAAACGTGTGAATGGCCTCTAACAGCAGCCCGGCTCTCAATATTAGAGAGCAAAAATGTGACAGCAGGAAAGAAACTGTGCAGGAGGTCTCTGGATAACTACAAGTCCATTTGAACACCAAAAGACACAAACAAGCCAACAAAGCCAGAAGCCGCTCCATCTGCTGTAAATCTTCCAAATGGAAGAGATTCCAGCAGAAAGACAATTTTCCCAAGTGCAATGCAGTTACTGTGCTATTTCAAATACCCAAGTGAGTTCACCAATGGCTTTTTTTTCCAAAAGTCCGTTTACTTCACACATTATCTGTTTATTTCGTAAGACTGAGCTTACCACCCTTACTTGTACATGGACAGTCCTCACACAGACTGGAAACACAGCAGGTAGACTTGGCTAAGCCAGCGTTAAACTAGCAATAAACAGTAGAAAGAGAAGGAAAAAAAAAAAAAAGATGAGAGAGAGCACTTGGATACTAGGGAAAATGCTGAGTAAGAACATTTCATCATCTCTGTTTGGCATCCGCATGGTCACTACTGGGACAACCTGTTCAGCTCTCATATCCACAGCTGTGGAGGGATGCAGATAGCTGTGCTGTGAGCCCACTGCAGTGTAACAGAACAGCCGAAGAGAAGGATCAGAAAGGTCTCTCATCCAGCCCTAAGGTCCAAGCTATTCTCCTCAAAGAGAAGGTCAAAGGGTGATTTGATTACAGTTCAAGTGCCTAAAGGTGTAATGGAAAGTTGCTAGAGAACCCTTCAGCCTCACACATAAAGGTCTAACTAGCCCCAATGTCAGGAAGCCAAGGGCTGACAAGACACACACGCACATTTTGTTTTAATTTTTAGACAGCAAGCGTGAGCGGTGCAAGTAAGAAAAACTTAATGATAAAATTTTGCTAACCACTTAACAGGTTAACCTATTTATTTCTAAGAAATATGTTCCTATTTAATCAGAAGCCTGATAATGGAGAGGTGCTTATGTGCATGCACACAACTACTCCTACTTGACTGCTACACCGCTCTGAAGGTTTTTCATTCTAAGAACAAATTATTTAAAGCTTGTGAAGGACTCCCCCCAGCTAAGTATACTTAAATGCAATAAAGAGATTTTTGTCAGCCAGGGAAGGGGCTAATGAAGGTTCCCTGTTCAGCAATGGTTTTGGCTTAAGGAGTTCCCTCTCCTCCCACCAGTGAATGATGGTGAATCCCCTTCTCAGCCGGGCCAGCAGTACTTCAAGTAAGGCCAAGCTGCAAACCAGAGCATTGTGTCAACTCAACTGAGAAACCACCATCACCACGGAATGACTGTCTGTCCCATCCCCCAACCTCTGGTATCCTACAGCACAGCTCCCAAAACCTGCTGTGCCAGCATAACTGAGATGGCTGTGTAATAGTAGGAACCAGTGACTGAAGGAAAGGGGAAAAAAGAAGAGATGAGGACCATTTATCCAGGTACTGTCACGTAGAAAATTAATGGGAAACCACTGCGTCCATTCAGCGTATAATAAGAATGCTAAATATTGACAGTCAGGCCATTTACCAAAGACTGCTATTACTACATGATGAGCATGAATCTCAGAAAGGAAAAGTCATTTAAGCTAAGGTGGAAGTCACTTGCCCAGAGGTAAATATCTTCACTAGTAAAGTAAAATAGCTCTTAATTTCTTAGTTAAACGTGTTTGGCTTTTTTTCATTTTACATCAGCTCTGGCTAAGTGTTCCACATGCTTGCTGGAAATATGCATCTTTCTGTGACCACTCTTATCGGCACTGTGTATACAGTCAGCACTTCTGGATTAAAGCATTTGAATTGTAACATCCAATCACATTTGCCAACCATCCAATTATTTACATAGTATCTTTTTTATTATTATTTCTGATGTGCTTTTGTTTGGCACTTCACAATGGAATTCAAATATGATAACGATTAAGAGGAGACACAGCCCCAGAGCCAGCAATCTAAGTCACTTTCAAACGGGTTCTCAGAGGGCTTTTCAGAGAGCCATTTCTCAATTAAACACACACAGATAACAAGAGATCATGCAGGATGAAATTAAGGACTTGCTATTAATGAGCATCAGTCAGAAAACTAGATTCGTGCTCTGAATACTGTACTTCCCTACAGTTGGCAAGACAAGCTGCAAGATTGCTGTTGCAACCCAGGGACAGGACAACCGTGTTTCACTCCCACTCCTTGTTGTGGTTTTATGCCAGGAAAGGGAATCTTTAATTTTTCCAGAGGAGCCCTGCCAAGCTGAGGCTGCAAATAGGATATGGTGTGTTAGTAAACTTCTAGCCAGCTTGCTCACACCCTGGCCAGAACTCTTCAAAGTGCCTAATTCCCTATGTACACGCTGGCAGCAGTGACTACCTCGCTTTCATGCAAACCAGGCTCCTGTGTTAGACTCCCTTTGTTATTTAGGATTGTGCAGGATATGTGGCACCCAGATACCCAGCCTTGCCTTCTCTCCTTTATACAAAAAGGAACTGCTTCCATAAGACCCACCTCCGCTACTAAAATTTTGGCAGAAATAAACTGGTTCTTACAGTGAAACTCCCGTAAGTGCATTAGAGGAACAAAGTTCTCCGTAAAGCATTAGCAGTCCTTGTATCATCTATACACACAGCTGTCTTTCTCAGAGTTCAAATGAAGTTGTTTTATTTTTCTTCCAACTCTTCACACAGAATCAAAGAATAAACAGCCCGTCATCCCACCCACCTTTTTTTAAACAGTTGGACAGACTCAATCAGTACAAATTTAGCAGCAGCGAGCCCACCGCCAGTGATGAACACCCTGCCATAAACACTGTTCCTGCCCCCAGGGCTCACCCTTAGCACAGCACTGGGAATGTCCTTAGAAATACACACCAGCAGGGTTCATTCTCCTTTGGTTTTCAGCTTTTGGGTTTACCCTGTTTCTAAGGGGAGAATGGTATCTTTCAATCCCTTCCCAGAGTCCCCAGCAGCACAAAAATATCTCCAAAAAGGTGCTGCTGAACCCATGAGTCAGGTTTGCTGATCTGGACTAACCCATCATTCATAATGATATTCTTAACAAATGAGGACATCCTCAAGAACAGTCTGACAGAAATCCAGAACATTCCACAGCTTGACTTGTTAAATCAGGGAGTACAATAGTTATTAACAGACAAAACAATAAGCATGGAAGAGAGTAAGTTTGGCAAAAAGTTGCAAAAGCAATGCTGCGAGCCAGAAGCACACCAGGAAAAGATGGGCAGAGGAGAAAAGCATTACAAAATGCACAAGTCTATCCAGGGAAGGGAAACACAAAACAATAAAGCATGGCAGGGAAAGGGCAGGGGAGAACAGGAAAAAATGAGAAAAGACAGAATCCGTAAGTGGGAAGAGTGTCATGTGAAAGCCACTGATTTGGCTTTCACATGAAAAAAAAGTGGTAGGAAAAGGGGAGGAGGGGAGAAGTACGAGAGAAATATTTCAGTCTTTAATTTCATCATTTTAACGCTGCTTTAGTTCACCATATAAATCTTTTGATGAATAGTAGCTCTCTCCAGACATGGCAGTATATTAAGATTCTTTTTTAAGGCTTTCCAAACAACACAATGTCATTCTTTGGCTTTTTATGTGGATTGCCTAGACTATGCTTTTGTTGCTAAGCTCTCATTAGATGAGTATCTTGTACTAGTACTTACTGACAGGGAGATTATAAAATACGAGAAACCTGAACCCAAGTCCAGCATTCAATTTTACACAAGCAAACACTCACAAGCAACAGTACAATGCCTTGCTTGTGACTTAGCGATACTTCTGTATACATTCAGGATGAACTGATTGTGCCTGAACTGTTCCACACCGGCGTGTGAGCAATTCATTTAGGAAAGGACAGAAAGGGTCTTTTTGAGACCCTCCCGGAGAGCACAACTCCGGACGTATCACGAGCCATCTCCCACACCAAAAGCTCGTGGGCCAGCCCCACCATCCTCAGCCTCCCAGCAGGCTGGCTCACTGCGTCTGACGCACGAGCTCAGGAGCGCTGCCCTGAGCCACAAATACTGGGGAAGCGCAAGAACCGCACAACACGGAGAGGGAGCCAAATTAGTAAATCTTGCTTACAAGGGATGATGGTTAGCACGTCAGGAGGAGCAAATGTAACAATCTAGCTATCTGGGTGGAAGACAGATACCCATCCTGAACAGCAAATTCTGTCAAACACCAATGAACACTTGACACACCACAGGCGGAAAACTACCCTGATTCTACACTTAATTCAATT